AACATGTAAATATGTATATATTTATAACGACACATGAATATCTATTTGTTACATGAGTTGAACTATAATTATATTTTGTAAATAGCTAACAATTTATTACAACTGAGACTTCTTATTTTGATCTTTTGCTTTTTTAACAGTAACTAAATTGAAGTAAAGATTATAAATTTGATGGACAACAATTAGTTGAAATTCTTTATAATTTTTTTTTATCTTTAAACAAACAGAGTTGTGTTCAATCAAAGACATATTGGTTTGATGAACACTAAATATGGAAGAATATAAAAACTTTTCTTTCATGCTTCTGTTTTTTTTTTCAAAATTTACTGTTTTGATATTAATTCTAGATTTGATCATTTTATTAGATGATAGAAGCCTTTTTTGTTTTTTTCTTTTATTTAAATATATAATATTTTTTTTAATAAATGACCCTGTAGCAATATGACTCTAAATATGATCATATTATATATTTGTATAATATATAATATGATCTCAAACTAAATAATTATGTTTTTTGGTATAAAATTGAATAAACTGAAAACCGATGGTATATAAACCAAATCAAACTGTAGTATATATAGATTTAGAATAGTAGTTATATTTTAATGATCGAAATACCAAAAAAATCGGACAAAAAATTGAGCCGAACCGAAACCCGATATCCGGATTGAGCACCTATAATCCGAATGAAACCGAACTATTGTTTCATTTTTCAAAACATAATAAAAATAATAGCTTCATCCCGCGCAAGGCGCGGGTCTTATCCTAGTTTACTTGTAACTTGCTATTATATATTTAGTAGTACTTATTAAATTTATGTTTGATTATTAGACGACTTTGAAAGCTTAACTAATTTGGAAAATGTTTTGTAACTCTTGTATCATTTAAACATCATATCAACTTTTCATTCTATAACAATTTTACAATATTTAAATACACTAATTTCAAAACATTTAGAATTAGTTATTTATATTATTAAAACATAAGTTTAAATTACCATTTAAATTAGGCGTGGGATGTTGAACCGAACCAAACCTGCCAAACCAAAAATTTGGGTGGAAGTTCGGTTCGATTTGGCAGGATTATTAAAAATCAATTTGTTTTCAGTTAAGTTCAGATTGGTAGTTGGTTAGTTTCAATAAAATTATCTGAAATTATTCGATTTTAATCAATTTTAACCGATATATAATCAAAACTCACAAAATTGATAGTTTTGGTAAAAAATTAAAACCCAAACCACCCCAATATCGAATCGATCCGAATTTTTATCTGGATCAATTTGGCAAGATTTTAATCAAACTTAACTACCCGGTTTTCAGACTACCCGACCTGAACCGCATGCCTAATTTAAATCAAACATGTTATCTTATTAAATTGAGCTTAACATAAATATACAAAATATCTTACATATTAAGGCATTACATAGATCATATAAATGGGCCAGTATATTTAAAATCTATAACTCATATGTATATGATATTAGCTATATGTATTCTTTCATATCTACCAATTATGGTTTCATATGTGGACCTATTTGAATTTTATAAGTGTGGTTTATGTAAGTATTAATAAAAAAAAAATATTCTAGATGGATAATTTATTAGATTATGGTCATTTCTCCCAAAGTTTGAATATGGTAATACATGTTTATAACATTTAAAATTTGGTTTATCTAAATATAATTGTTCAACACATAAGAATATGGTAAATTATCCCTTATATTAATTTGAATTGACCTTGTAAAATTTAATTAAGATTTTAATGAATTATTTAAATACAGTAGCTAGCTAAGAGGGAAAGAAATATTATTTAGATTAATATGAGAATATTCTTGGATAACAATGAGACATAAATAACATGTTTTTAATTAATGATTTTCTAGAGATAATCCATTATTTTAAAAATCGCATATCAAAAAATATTGTGACTTCTGTTTTAATAAGGAAAATCACATAAAAAATCTTGAAAGTGATACGTACTAACACTTTAAATATTGAAGTTTTTTTACTACCACTTTAAACCTTCAAAGTGATATTTGTGTCACAAAAAACCTTCAAATTGGTTTACTTATTTATTAAGTTAAAAACTGACCTTTACAGCAGGTCAATATGATGATGTGCCAGTTTTTCAAAAATAATAATTATTTAACTAGTAAAATAAATAAAAATTATATTAAAAAGCGAAAATATAAAATCAATAAACTAACATAAAATCGTAAAATTGTATAATTTTTGCAAAAATAAAAAAATATTCAGAAAAAATAAAATAAAATTTCAAAAACAAATTAGATTAAACTAAAATTAAAATAAAAAAAGAATATTAAAATATGGAAATTAAAATGAAAATTTAGAAAAAATTTTTAAAAAATAAAGAAAAAGCAAAAAATTCAAAAAAGGAACATTCAAGTTTTTTTTAATTACAAGATTTGTTTTAACATATATTTATCATTGTTGACAATAACAACTTCAAACATATCACTGATGACGATGGTGGTTTCTCACATAACTATTAACAATGACGTTTTAACATATCTTTAATGATAGTTTCCGACATCATCATTAAAAATGATGATATATATTGTCAAGTTTTTTAAGGATGATGTCCGAAACTATCGCTAGAGATATGTCAACGATGATACTAACGTTAGTTATATGTCAAAACGTCATTGATAATGGTTATGTGAGAAACCACCATCGTCACCAATGATATGTTTGAAATTGTTATTGTTAACGATGTTAAATATGTTTTAAAACAAATCTTGTAATTAGGAAGAAAAACTTTTTTTTTGAATTTTGTACTTTTTTCTTTAATTTTTGTTTCATTTTCTGAATTTTCGTTTAATTTCTATATTTTAATTAATATTCTTTATTTTATCTAATTTAATTAGTTTTCTGTATTTTAATTTAATATTCTTTATTTTATTTTTATATATTTAATTTACTATTTTTATTTTTTCTATTTTTCTATATTTTAATATTATTTATTTTTGAAATATTATTTAATTTCTGAATTTTTGTATTATTTCTGGATTTTAATTTAAATTTCCAAATTTTTATGTTAGCTTTCTGATTTTATATTTTTTCAATTTTTAATATAATTTTTAATTGTTTTATTGATTAAATTATTATTATTTTCCGAAAAAACTTACAAATCATTACATTGACCTGTTGTATATGTTAGTTTTTTATTTGATGAATAAGTAAATCAAGTTAAAGGTTTTTTTGTGACACATATCAATTCGAAGGTGTAAGTGTTAGTAAAGAGTTTTAAGGTTTAAAGTGTAAGTACATGTCACTTTCAAAATTTTGAACACATAAGAATATGGTAAATTATCCCTAATATTAATATGAATCGACCTGATCAGAATTTAATTAAGGTTTTAATGAATTATATAAGAGGGAAAAAAATATTATTTAGATTAATATGAGAATATTGTAGGATAGTAATGAGACATAAATTAAATGTTTTTAATTAATGATTTTCTAAAATTTGTGTATTATTTAAAAAATTACATATCAAAAAAGATATATCAAAAAAAGATTGCGACTTATATTTTAATATATAAGATAGGGATGTTATAAAATCCACCAAACCAATGTTTAAAACGGAAGTGGTCTCATTTAGTTTTGATTCTTAATAGCGTAGAAAAATAAACAACCCTTTTTGACTATCAATCTCATATATAGATATATTCACAAGCAAACTCATATATGATAGAGAGAGGGCGAACAAAAGTTAGATAGAGAGAGAGCGAGCAATCTCAGAAAGGAGAACATGAACAACATTCTCCGGCGACATGTTCTCCTTTTAACGGTGGCCACCGTGTTATTCTCAACCGTTCCGGTTTCAAACTCTATTCCATTTATATTGTTCCACGGTAATTAATTTTCATCTTCAATTTATTTTAAGATTCCTTTTCAGCTTGATTATAAATGACAAAAATGAATTAGTTAATACTAATTAATGAAAAGAAAAAAAACAGGAATTGGAGATAAATGCTCTGGTGGAGTTGGTAACTTCACGCAACTACTAAGCAACCTCTCCGGCTCTCCTGGCTCTTGCATGTAAGTTGTGTAATCAACCATTAACAAACACTTGACTTCTCTTTGTCTCATCCTTAGGGTCTTTAATTTGATTTTTCAGGGAAATAGGAAACGGAGAAGCAGCCTCATGGTTGATGCCACTAATGCACCAGGCGAGTGTAGCTTGTGAGAAAGTGAAGATGATGAAAGAGCTGAGTCAAGGTTACAACATTGTTGCACAGTCTCAAGGAAACTTAGTAGCTAGAGGTTTAATCGAGTTCTGCGACGATGCTCCTCCTGTCATCAACTATGTTTCTTTAGGAGGTCCTCATGCTGGCATCGCCGAAATCCCCAAATGCTCTGTATAAACTTCAAACTTTACTAATTCTCTTAATCACTGTAATTAACTTCAATGATACTAATCATGTGCTTGTTTGTTGTGTGTGAAGTCTGGTCCCTTTTGCGCTATAGCAGAAGCTTTGATGAAGTTAGAGATCTACAACGACTTCGTTCAAGTATATAACACTCTATCTATATCTCTTTTGTTCAAGATCAAATTCCTTCAATCATGATTTGATTAGTTAGTCACTATGCAGGATCATTTTGCTCCTAGTGGTTATGTCAAGATCCCTGGTGTAAGTTATTTAGCTAAACCAAATCAATTAGTTCAAAATCGATTCTGGTTATCAAACACAATGACTTTGGTTTTCTCAGGAAATTACAAAGTATTTGGAGCACTCTAAATATCTACCAAAGCTTAACAATGAGAGACCTGAAGAGAGAAACTCTACTATCAAAGACCGTTTCATGAGCTTACATAACTTGGTTCTTGTCATGGTACTTTGCTGTCTCCTTTTTTTTTTAAAAAATTGTATATCCTGTATGTGTTAGCTCATTGCAGCTGTTTTCTCCTGCTTAAACAGTTCCAGAACGACACAACTTTGGTCCCTAAAGAAACTTCTTGGTTTGGATATTATACAGATGATAGTTTTGATTCTCTTTTGTCAACTCAACAGGTGAATCCCTCACTCTCTCTCTCATTTCGTTGTTGAAGATTTGTTTTCTAATAACTTTAAGATGTGTTCTTCAGACAAAACTATACAGGGAAGACTGGATCGGCCTGAAAGCATTGGATGACGTAGGAAAAGTGAAGTTTGTGAATGTCTCAGGGGACCACCTTATGATAGAGTATAAGGACGTTGTTAAATACGTTGTGCCTTACTTAATGCAGACAAGTTTGTAAATTCTTTAACATGTGACCATCACTGTCATTTTATACGATTTTTAAAACATATGATCCCAATCCAAATATAACTGATAATATTTAAAATTATTGGGTAATAATCTTGTGTTAAATTTGATATTTACTAATTACGTAAACATATTTGATTGTTTGGTGTTATTCATGTAAAGGTTTTGAAAGTAATTAGATGTTAGTCAATACAAATATAATTTTCAAAATATTTAAATATTGAAAAGGTATTATAGGGAACAAAATCTAAAGACGTCAAGATCAACTTGTAGGGTTCTTAAGGAGAGATGGAGATAGACATGTGAAATGGGATGAAATTGATTAATATATTGATCTAATATAATTCCCTTTTGCAACCTCTATTATTTTATCACCAACTTGTTGCCTCATTGTCTTCTCTTTTTCTTTGTCTGTTTCTTCTTTTACTATTATAGTGTTATCTATTTAGTTAACTCTTTCCATAACCTAAAAGTTAATTCTATATTTGTATAGAATCCAAAGAATAGTGAGTACATCATATGTTATCTCTTTAGTTAATTCTTTCCATAACCTAAAAGTTATTCAATATTTGTATAGAATCCAAAGTACTCTAGTTTCATTTATAATTTACAGATTCTACACCCGCATTATCAATCTATACTATTAAAACACAAGGTCATTTGGTAAAATGTCTTTCTCTTTTGAAAATATTTACAATCAAATGCCACTGGAACATTTTAAAGCTATGTTTTTTATTTAATTCATTATTTTCACTAAATAATAAAATCCTATGGAATATTCTTATTCTCGCAACAAATTGTTCTTATCTATCATTAACAACTCGGATAAATCCTCCCTAAATCTAACAAAAAAATTGTTTGTTGTAACTTAATAGATTTCTATTCGAATATATTATCGCATATTCATAAGTGTAACTGATTTATAATATTATTTTAAAATTTATTTACAGTCTAATCAATACTATATAAATCTCGAACAATGCAGCAAAATACAACCATTTGAAAATGTGAGTTATTTCTACCAAAAATCCATCATGGATCTGCTAATAAAAATGGACGACTTAAGTGATGTTAAACCATTCAAATCTGCATGGAGAGTCCAGGTGAAAGTTTTGCAGATGTGGAAGACATTCGATAACCGGCTTGGTTCGTCTCTTAATATGGTATTAGCAGATCAAAATGTAAGACAATATTCATAACTTATGCAAAAAAATTTCAGGAGACCTTTGAGTTTCAAAGTATTTAAAACCTCATGCCATTGAAATTTTTTTAAGCTATGATTTCAATTAAATGCTTTAATATTTTATAAGTAATTGGAGCTTTTTTTAGGAACTCTCTAGTATATTTATTGTTATATTACATTAACTACGAAATGTAGGAAAAATGGATTCATTCAAATTAATGAGTAATGAGTACGATATCTTTCAAATTTTATATGATTTGAAAACATCAGTAATATAGGAACCTCTCTAACTAGATGATTTTATTTCTAAACTAGACGATTTTGTTCCTAAGAATATATTGTCCATTTTTTAAAAAAAATCGCGAATAAGTAAATATGAACAAGCTATCAAAATCATAGCTCGCCACCACTGCGAGCAAAACATTTTATTTATTGAGTCATGTCTCATATTAAGCAAATCAAATCTAGATATTTAGTCATGTCTTCTATTTTGATTTTCTGCAGGATATCAAAATTCAGGTTCAATGTGCAGGAAATAAAAGAAGAATATGGAGTTCACAAAGACATATAGCAAGTGTCGGGTCAAATTTAACAGTGTTTTTAAAAAAATATAAATGAACATGTTGGAGATCTAATTATATAGTTTTCAATTTTGTAGTGATCAATTCTAATATATTGTCTTCGGCGGAAAATTTTGCTAAAATTCTCCATCAGCATTTCAAGAGCCAGAGAGTGTTTACTAACGTGAGCCATAATCAGAGCTTATAGAGGTAAACTTATCCGATCTAATTATTTACTTATATATATAGACATTGCTATCGATACCATATTAAACCAAACCATCATTATGTTAAATAGATATGTTTGGTACGTACTTACCAAAAATCGTGTTTCAGGAAACTCCAATTAGAAGAAGAGTCTACGAACAGATTTAAGCATCTATATCAACTATTCATATTTCAAAACTGATTTTGAAGATTTTTTTTTGTCAGCTGATGGAATTTTCTTATTTTTTCTGTTCATTAATATTAATACTTGCCAAGCGTGTTAGAGTTAGGTTCGTGCTCCCTACTTTTTAATGAACTATTATTTTGAAACTCTCGGATTTTTCAGATAAATAAAAAATATAAGCTTTTTAAGTCATCTATCAATCAAAATCAATAATAAAGGCATTAGGTTTAGAACAGCTTTTAAAAATTATACTGATATCATAATATTTTTAATTACAACAATTAACATTATATTTTGAGATATAAAAAATGAATTTCAAAAAATGAAAGCCCAATAATAGAAAGTACCATGTTTTTGTCCAACTAAACTAAACAGCCCAAACTGATTTATACAATTTATCTATCAAATTTTAAAGCTCATTGTGTATTTGTATACTAACTAACCCATCTAATTTCGTGTATATTCTAACTTATACCTAATATCTGTATTAAAACCTTAACTATATTTACATTCTATTAACACCATAAAAAACTGTTGTCCAATTATATGTTATAGTGATATGCATTACAAAGAAAACAAACTCTTGCTTCCAATGCGCGGTCAAAATTTAGAATTTGATTTTTATGGTGTTATATTCATATCAATACTATTAAAGTAAATTGATATAAAATCATTATGTCAAAAACTTTGACAATTTTCTCAATAATGGTGCTCGATTTAACACGAAATAGTTAGAAGTATAACTCCATGTACTCTCCATTACAATCAAATATACTCGATTTAATATGATCCATAAATGCGATCGAAACATACATATGTAAATTTCATCTTATTTGAAAAAGATACAATACCCGCGCTTCCGAAACGCCGGTCAAAATCTAATCTATACTATTAAAGCAGAAAACTCATTTTTGAAGTGTTTTTCTCTTTTAACAATATTTACAAATTCTGTTACTAGATTATTTTAATGCTATGTTTTTATTTAACTGATATATTAACAGTGAGAATCTTTTATTTAAATAGGATAATTTTAACCATATCTACATAAACGTGATTTGTGAATGTGCTACAACTATATACATAGTCTTTCTTATAAAATTATAAGGAAAAATGATTGTGAGCTACCTAAAGTATCGACCACTACATGACTAACCATGCAAACTAAAAAAATGCACACTCAACTACACAAAGTATATGATATGCATGCTAACATCCATAAACTTTATGTTGTTATGTAGCTAACATCATAAAAGCTTTTCTTTTTTAACCTCTATTTTTATCACATTTATTGAATATTTGTAAAATTAAAAAAAAGTTTTCGTAAACCTTTTTATAGTAAGGTATTTAAAAATTTTAGTTTATTAAAAATGTTTATAAATACAATTATAAAGATATAAAACATTTTGAAAAATATTTTTTAAATGACTTAACTATTTAAAATCAAAAAAATATTTTAAATATAAAAATATTTTTTTCACATAACCCAAAAATATCGGAGAAATTTTACCTTTACCGCACTTTTGATACCATTATTCATGTTTACTTTCCTTATTAGAGGAACATTTTTAAATATACCTAATTATTAAGTTTCATTAAAAAGTCAAACACTCTTCTACCCTCACTTTATAGATATATAAATATAAATAATTATTTAAATAAAAAGAATTTTTTTTTTTTTGATTATAAGTTTTCAAATTAAATTTTTTTATAATTATTTCAATTTTCTTTTCTAGAATTTTCTTTTTCTAATTTGTTTAATTTTAATATTTTTTTATTTTAAATAATTATTTATATTTATATATATATAAAATAATGATCAAAAATTATTTTTTCGCTTCGGTGAAAAATGTATTTGTAAAAATATCTCCTTACTGAAGGAAAATATGAATTATGCTACTGTAAATGTGGTAAAAATAGAATTCCCCCTTAAAAATCAGATATAAAAATAAATGTTAAACTAAAAAATTGTTAAAAATATATAAAAATAAATGCTAAACTAATCATATATAAATATAAATGCTAAACTAATCATATATATAAATAAATGCTAAGCTACCAAACTATTAAAATATACAATTAAAATAAAGTTAAAAGTGTTTTCTAAAATAACATTAGTTTTAATATTTTTCTATAACACTTTTGAAATAAAAAGAATATTCATAATAATAAAAATATAAAATATAAAAAGTTTTTTCATATCTTACATCATTTTTTATATTTTAGTTTTTATTAAGTAATTAATCTTGTGATGTAATTAATAATATTTTTTTCTTGTTACTATGCATATCATATACTTCATGTAGTTGAGTGTGTATTTTATTATTTTGCATGGTTAGCCATGTGATGGTCGATACTTGATGTAGCTGACTTTGCTGTCATTCATCGAGCATGAACCAACCATTTTTTCATCGTTGTTCTTCTCATTAGGGCTGTTCAATATGGTAATACCGAACCGTACCGAACCGAACCGAACCGAAATAGACAATATGGTTTGGATTTGGTATATACCATATAAACCGAATGGAAATGATTTTATAAAAACCGTAGGATTTGGATATGGTTAGGTTTATAACCGATTAAACCGAACAAAACCGATCAAAGAAAAAATATATAAATATATACATTATATAACCATATATTTTCTTGGAATAGTCTTTTTTTTTCTTTTTTATTCCTTGTGAAGATATATCTTAATAATTTAATTTTATTTTCTTCAACTATTATCTAAATTTGATTTTATTTTCCATGTTGTAAGAAATTGTGAAATTAGATTGTATCATGTAATTTATTTGGAAGAAGAAATAGAAAATAAGAAAAGTTGTATAAAACTGAATCGTTTGTCATTTTATTTGTTGTTAATTTCAGATTTTTGTATTTATGAACACCTAGGATTATTTTAATAAATGATAGT